CATTACAAAATGACAGAAATGGTTTTAAAAGATCCGTAAGCGAAACAAACGGTTTTTCTAAACGTCTGAATTATAGACACTCATTTAGCGCAGACTATAAGCCACATATTGTAAAAAGACCACATAAATGCTGCGAATGTATTACTGGTTTATCAGCAGAGGATGAACAATCATCAGCACAACCACAGCTTTCTAGAACGTTGGGTACTTTATATGAATCACAAGATCCAAAGATAGGATGTCAAACTATACTCCGATCAAAACCTCCAATTCCTTGGTGGGAATTAGCTATAAAAAAATCGCGATACAAAAGCTGTCCAATTCTGGAAGAGGTATGTTGATATAGTTATTTCTTTTGACTACATATAGATATTTACAATTTGTTAATGCCTCATTCGTTTAATGAATGGGTATCTATGTAGCAAGACTTTGTTAGTCTTATTACAATTGAGACCAATCCTCTGGATTATTTAAATTTATTATCTAAGCAGACATTGTTATGCCTTGTCATGTATCTAATACGAAGATTTTATCATTGTAGATAGGTTCTATTATCTGGTAGACATACAAGTCAAAAATTCAGAATATATCGCCGTAATACAAGACAGCATGATCGATTGTCTTATATGGTACATCTTGGAGAGACTTTATATACTTAATGGACAGGAACTTGGACCTGTTCACGTGAATCACTTTCTATGCAATGTTCGTGTTAATTTTCATTTTAGGTGCGGTTTTCATTCCCCCGTGGCTTAACTTGATGGTATAATAGATTGTAATGAAAGTAACGTATCAAATCGAAACTATAGCTAGGGGAGAATACAAATGAATGACGTAGCATATTCACCTGATGGCATTGTGTTTGGTAGGGCGTAGATGTAAAATTTCCCCTAACTTCACACAATCAGGAAATATTATTTTTTGTAACAAGGATTTAAATGTAGCTTTATGTCTAATTGTACAGGATTTTTTTTGGAATAATATTAAATAAGACAATGTATTGTAATAAATTGACTTGTATACAAATTAATATTAAAGTTTCTACTGTTATTAACCTCTACAGTCATATGCATAATACTGACGCTAGCAAAACTTTCAAATGATTCATTATTTTCTAAAATTTATTTTGCTTTTATATGACAAGGAGTAGATTTAAAGAAATTTTAATATCTCATATCACACTCGTATCTGTAAGCAAAATAGCGATCATTATAATGTCATTACGTTAATAATAAGTTAGCTCTATGCAGACTACTTAATAACTTAGACTGGCATAATTTATCATATTTTATGTTTTTCAGCCCAATAGCTTATTTTTAGATACTATGTATTACTTTAACAGGTGTACACAAAATCTCTTAATAATAACTGCAATGGTTTCCGATATAAAAAAAAAACACGAAGACCCGAATACAATGAATCTGCTCTATAATAGATAAGACTAAGAAAAAATAATACCTGGCTACTACACAAAAAGTGAGTTCACGATTTAAATGGTCAGGTGCAGAGTTAATCGTCCCTTGCCATCCCATTCAGTAACACTAATATACTACTTTCCCACGGTAGTGAGAGTCAAAACCGTATTAGTCTTCATTTTAGATAAATTCCTTAGATTTGAATTTACTAATTACAGTAATATCTACGATATATGTACTAGTTTATTTTTATTCATAAAATGGTCAAAATTTAAATAAGTCACGTGGTAGTAGTATTTCTATCCGTACAGGTGTTTGTACAGCTGCACTTCATTCCGTATTACAACTGGTTTCTTTATAAAAATAAAACATATGAGTAAATGGAATTTTTGTCCTTATCTTGAAACTCTGAGGAACTCATGTTTCACAATTCTCTAGATAATAGTATTGTGTAGATTTCGCCTGTACCAAATAGAATCTGTGCAATAATGTATAATTGTGCATTGTCGTGGCAAGCGTGGGCGAGATCATGCTTCGGTCAAGCTATCGTTATTGCCGCAAGGGACACCTTTGAACTTGGGCAACCACTGACAATTATAAGTACTTCCGTGAGTTATTTATTTATATTTATGTACAGTAATATGGTCCATATATGCCCTGAGTCTATAATTACAGCACAAACATTATGGTATGATATTTGCTAATTAGGTAAGCATGTGCAATCACTGTTATTTGGAAATACATACAAATAATACATACAAAACGTCGAAACCATTATAAACAGTGCAAATATTTGTATTGCGATTATAGTCTTCAATCATAGGATGATCAATGTAATAAACTGCTAAACCATAAAAACTAAAATCACTAATGACAGAACTTAGCAACTAATTAACATGATTAGTAAGCTCTGTGGTCCCAGTAGCGGTATCGAACAGGAGATAAATATCTCGGCCGCGCAAGGCAGTCTGTCTCCGATATTGTGGTGGCAAACCTCGGCTACCTCGGCACACTTTCCTAATGCAGCCGCATCCGCCTCCTTTCTTGCAGGGCTGGTTTAATATGACCATTGTTATTATAAATCTATACCTTCGGCGAGTACACCGAAAAGTTCCGTTAATAGTTTGACAAGAAAATTGGCAGTTACATCTGATATTGTACACATACAATATCTCAGGTCAAGTCAACTTTTAGATTAAATTACAATCGTAGGTACATTTTCAAGTTACTTTTTACATAAATCCAAATAAGACCCCTTTGTGGTAGCTATAGATTTTAGAAAAATCATTGCGCACTTCTCTTTTTATTAAAATATTACAGATTAAAAGTGTATACTTGACGAAGAAAATTTTTTTTTTTTTTAATAATATATACAAGAAATAATAATATAATTGTGAAGGCGACAAATTACACAAAATTTAAAATACGTACTTTATAGTTTATAAAAATGTCGGAAGTTTGTCATTATTGCAATACTCAGTACATCCAATTGGTGCAAATTGTCGTCTATTATATTCGAAGTACTTACACTATTCAGGACACAAATTGACTAACATGCTTGCACATGCAATAATTGTCTTGCTATTTTTAGCTCCCATTTCCCTGTCAATTGTAAACCATAGATCTATAAATACATAACATTTTTTTGTCATGTTAATATATTCATATAATTGTTACTGCTTACATGATTACTATAGTAATTGTCTTCCAAAACAATGGAACATCTTACATATTGCGCATGAGTCTCATCATTGCTCAGAAACAAATTAAAGTATCTTCAACAGCACGTGTACACTTTTTCTTTTGTAAACCATTGGCGACTATTTTAATCGTGTCATTAAATATATAAAAATATGCCCCTTTTCTGCAGCTGTTGATTAACAATTAGCTTCCACCTGTTGCCCATTCAAGTACACCGCAGGTTTCCGTTATAAAGTACAACACTAAATCATTAGGCATTGAATTCAGATCGAAATGTGGCGTGTGGTATTTTTTATAATATTTAAATAGACATCTTTACTTACTAAATGAATTGGATTTGGTTATTAGATTAATTATTTAACATTAAAAATATACTTCTAATTGTACCTCCTTTGAACATTTTTTCTAGTTTCCAGAAGAATACGAGATATGTAAAAAGACTATGTTTATATTTTTCTATTAAACAAAAATTATGGTTCTTATCGGTTTCCTTTATCGCTGTTCATTTAGGTACAGGCCCTACACTTATTTAATTAAGAAGTAGTCAATGGAATGTAATAATGAGCATACATAGCACGCGCAAAAGATGTTCTGCGGAAAGATCTATCAATGACACCGGGACACTATAATTGGATGCCGCGAGCAGGTGGATTGTCCTATCAATAATGTATGCATATTTAAACTACAGCCTGCTGAATCATTGTACGAAGTGATCTTTGTGGGTGATACTGTATATATTTGCTTGCTTTGCAAAATGTGTTACGGTTAAAGAATGAGATGAGGATGTGTCCAAATTACAAGATACGCCGACATAACAACGTATTAATAGCGTAATGTCGGTGGTGCTGTTCATGTTATAGGATTATCATTTACCATCAGATAGGCCGTCAGCTTGTTTACCATTCCAATACATAAAAAAATATTAATAACGTTCTATCGATCCAAATGATTATTACCTGCTTGCATTTACATATGGATATATATAGGTGCAACCATTTTGTTCATGTTGTTAAGGATCGGGGTCGTTACCCTTGTTTAATTTTGCTGAGTGCCTTCCTGTGACGCGACAAACAAAGGGTCCCGTGTCCAGCTACACCCACTAACCGAACTATAAACCAATTTAATACGATGAGTCATTTTTACAGTTACTAAAATATTTATAGCTAATATTTACGATAAGTTAACTACGGTAAAATGTGACGTAAGTAATTATTATACTACAACCAAGCCGATATATAAACCGGTTTGATGGCTCCCCAGCAATTTGAAAACGTTATCGAGTAAAGGATGTCGAACTGGATACATAATAATCTCACCCTGCTTGTAGTCTAAGTTACGGAGAGATCTGTGTCGTTTTGTGGTCGCCTCTGATTACTTTAGAATAGAACTCGCATAACTACAATCCAAATCTACTCATAGTAAGATAAGATATTTATTATGATACAGTATGTTATTAATATTAATATAGGAATAAATACCGCACATAAAATGTCTTCTCAAAATATTTGACTATGTCCATGATATCGATCAAAGCGATCCTAATCGACGTGTACTAAGGACTTTAGGACCTACTCGTATGCAATTTATCATCATAATTAGAATAAGCTTTTTTAAATTTTAAGCTTCTAGTGTAACTGTTCATAAACACAACGAAACATTAATTAGAGATTTAATTTAGTAAAGAAATTGAAAGTATATAAGGATTAACTTATATACTTTCAATTTCTTTACTAAATTAAATCTCTAATTGGTAAATGTCTCTAATGGTATACAAGTCCGTCCGTGTATAATGTCCAATGTTGAAATCATTAATATATCTATAGTCAGTAAGTAGATGCGTGGAATGTTTTTCCATAGTAATTTTTATTGTTTTTCTTGTTACAGGCACACGTGGTGTCAGCTTTCGAACAAAGCTTATCAAACATGACACAAAGGCTACAACAGTTAACCGCTACAGCTGAGAGAAAGGTAATAAATACATTTTATTGCTCTTCAACCATATTTTTTTTAATTTGTGTTTTATAGTGCATATAAAATGTACTTATACAGTTTACGTGAAATTAATATGTCTAATTGAATTACGCTTAATTTATTGTAATTGCAAACAAGATTGGAACTGAAACAAAACACATGTGTAAAGGCCATGAGATGAATGACATAATCGATGGTATTAGATACGTTCAATGAATAGACAGTTGTATTGGTTACGTCTTCGTATTCCACAATTCGGTAATTATATTTATTAATTATAATTCGGTTTTTTATTATGTTTTCCATTCACTTTACACATCTTTGGAGGTTTTATAAGTGAAATTTTAATATATTTGTGGAGTCAATTTGATTTTGCTACACTTCTGCAAATAATCTTATTTAGTAACTCTTATTTAGTAGTAACTCAAATTAAAAAAAAAATTGAGTTACTGTGCTTATATCTATGCAGATAATTTCTGACAGTCTACCTGAGATTGTAAATAATCATCTCTGTAATCCCACCTGTTTCAGGCGCCAAGCAGTTGCTTTGTAAGCTGTGTTTTGATTGTAGTATGCGATTAGGCAGTGAAATTACTAGATAATAGAACTTTTATATTACTCACTAGGACTCGGAAGTAACGGAGTTGCGTCAAACAATCGAGTTGCTTCGGAAGCAGTCAATTCAAGCTGGCCTCACGACCGCTCATATGCAGTCCATGGGCATCAGAGCTGATGGTGTCAATGTTACTGGACAGGTAAGATTCACTAATGAGATATACATATAATTAGTATTCAGGATAAAGACATACGCTGCAGAATGATCAGCACAGAGCTGTGTTAAAATCGATTATACATATATACGATTGACTGTCTCTGAACTCGTAGGTATACTGACATACGTAATACTAAAAGTAAGTATATACTACTTACTTGCTTTTAGTATTAAATCAGAGATCAGAAGAAATACTAAATAGAAAATTTCATGAACTAAGAATATGAAATTTTACGTATTTAGTTTAAAAACAGGCTTATACGTGTAAAATTTAGAATTTTCCGTATATATAAAAATACTCTTAAAAATATAGCATATACTTACTGATACTATTAATATACTTTTTAACGGTTAAAGTCTCTAAACTCTTAATAAGGTTAAGCTCTTAATCAAATAATGACTAAGATAGTTTTGCATTAAATTTGGTGCACAGATAACTATATCCTAGATTAGCAGGATAGTGTAAATATAATACGAGTCAGAATGGTATTAAGGTTAATTAATAATTATACGGCTAATTCGACGAGTTTTCAATGACTATGGGATGTGACTTTAACGCTAATATGAATGGATATGATTCCAAGTCGCAAATATTTTGATAATATAGATTATGTTATCTATGTATTTTTTTACTACATCGTTATATTATACCGTATATTTCAGAAGTAGTTACGTACCGTATATTACACAATCGTTTTAGATTCTTATTAGTCCAAATTATACTAAGTATGTATGTCTACAAGAATATTATCTGAGTGTTTATTGTCAGAAATCAAAATTTCGACTCTATGTCTTCTGAGAATAGTACTAATCTTAAAAAAACTAAAGTTAATAGGTGACAGAAGAAGATACGATATAGGTATCTTTATTCATTACACAAAACATTGTACTCTGTCTGTTCTCGGGATGTGAAGATATCTTTATGTTGATCATCTATTTAAATGTGACTAACCAACAGACAAACATATTTACTATTTATACTAAATGGTTGAGAAAATGCCTCAAGGTGTTAAGTCCGCAATGTGCACCTTTATTTATGTATTTGTGCATTAAAGTTTTAATAAATAAATTTATAATATTGGCATGGACAAAGAGTAAGTAAAAAGTAACAGAACTTCCCTCATTAGGTATATAGTAATACAATACATATAGTATACTATATTATTAAGAAATTATATATATTTTAATAACTATATGGTCTTGCCATCATTTACCATCAGATGAGGAAAACCAAAACCATTTTTAATAAAAAAAATCTGAATAAGACTATACTAGGTATATAGAATGCTAGGTATATTTTATGATGAGTAATAGGTAAATATATTGTGTAGCTAGCTTATATCGTAGCTAGATAAATGTACACAATTTTTATTTTATAAGTAATATTGTTGTAATAATACTGATATAATGAAGTAGGTTGTAAAATTAAAATACAACAGCGATAATTTTAATATTAGTTGGTCATTACAACCATCAATCATTAATCGTTGTGCAAGACATAAATGGGATCAAGTGCATTTTATTACTTATACTTAAGTGTATATTAATTACAGAGGAATATGTACGTATTGTAAAGTATAATTGAATCCGTAATGTTTTTATTTACATTAGTATTTATAAATCATACATAAGTCATATATTATGCAGGCATAGCTCATATTACTTATGTGTTCACCTTTGTTTTAAGAATACAAATTGAAAACATTGCTTTGTTCCTGTTCCTGTTATCACAGTCTCTCCAAGAACCTCTTGTTAATAAATTTCTATAGTAATATAACATAACATTACTTAGAAAACTACTTTCAATTTTAGCTCATAATTACGTTGCCTATTTACAGGGCTGTATATATATATATATATAATATATTCATTCTGAAATATTACTTCAGTTTGCCTATGTTTATTACTTCGCTAATAATGGAATATGAGATCTGTATACCTCGACATACTCTTTTAAATTAAGTTATATGATATATCAATAATAAACAATTTGATATGACTGAATATCGATTCAAGTGCGATTCGTAATCAATATCTATTAGCAATGTCAACTTAAGTTGGATTTCATTGCACGAATGTACCGAGAAACGCAAGAAGTATATTCAATCCGAGCGGTGCCTCTCATTTTTTTCGCTTGTAAATTGGTGTACGTAAAATATTTATATTATTATTAGTGTAATTAGTAATATAAATTAAAATTAATCCGTAGAGTAATTTATAATATTTGGTAACAGACACTTCAATTATAATAGTATAATGATGGAATAAATAATAGGTACTTATATAATAACAGCCAGTATTTTTATTACTTAAATTATATATTACTTAGGTATTTATTGTAGTATTTGTTTTACTTAAATAATAATGGAAAAACATATGTGATTCACAGACCTTATTGGAAAGCTGCACTTAAAATGTCTCTATTTAGTTGGTTGTCAAATATCGTGACACAGTTTATAGATGTTGTATAAGTAGAGTTGTTCATGTCAATAGCGAGGTTTAATGGCTTCGAAGTAATAAATTACTGTTGATTATTTCTACTGCGTTTCACCCATTGGAGTTTTTACACATTATAGAGACAAATTGATTGACTGGCATTAAGAATAGCCTTTTCTATTCAAATAGGTAGTATTTGCATAGACAAGGCAGCAATACGCCACAGGTGTTCGTGATGATTGACCGAGCTATCCACGCACTAAAATGTAACAAACAAATTACGATACTACAGACAAATACATAATTGTCATGCGCAGTATTATAGTCATCCCCAGAAAGGTCGAAAAGCTGCTATATATATAGTACTTATCAGTATTATAAAACTTGTTAATCATATATACATATATTTATGTTTCATGTTGCTTCATTCCTTGTTTTAGCCGGACCCCAATACACAAACACAGCAGTCATCGCCACAACGTATCGCCCAAACCGGCAATGGCGCAATTACGAGACATCTCTCGACAGACAGCGTATCCAGCATCAACAGCCTTAGTAGTGGATCATCAATGCCCCATGATAAGAAGCATAAAAAGAAAGGATGGGTATGGATCTACAATTTTATGTAGTTATTACCCAATTCAATTAAGTAATGTACATATAATACTATTATGATTGTACATTAATTTCTTTCTAAATTCGAAATGAAATAGTTATTTCATACAAATTTAGAAAGAAATCAATATGTCTAAATTATTTAATATTATTTAGCTCCATATCTATAATAATAATATACATTTTATTATTTATTACATTCCTACAACGTAATTCGACAAGAGTAATATATGTATTAAATTTTAGTAATTCAATAGCAAGAGATATATGTTGAATGTTTAAATATGATTGAAAAAATATATATTCTAATTCAATTAGATAACTAAACAATCTTATTTGAGCAACTTAAATGTAAAAGTAAGAAGTTAATGGTAATAATGTGTCCCACAGTTGCGTTCGTCGTTCACAAAGGCTTTCTCGCGGAACGCCAAGATTTCTAAGACGGCGAAACATTCGTCCCTCGGGCAACTGTCGTCGCAGGACAGCTCGTCCGGTTCGCACCACTATGACGACCCCCACACGATACGGGAGGGAAGTAACGAGAACAGTCTAGAACATTCGCACGAGGCTCTTGCTGAAAATAAGGTAGGTCTACATTAATATTGTAAAGAGAAAATATTAATTTCGTGACTTTGTGTGACCTGGATAAAGCCGGTACGAGGCGCTAGTTAGTACTAATTAAGAAGTAAATACAAGTTATTAGTACAATTTATTACTACGTACTTATATTTACATAAATCATTGACATTAAAGGTCAATCAGTAAGTACCTACCTGATATAAAATTAAAATTCAATTAAAGATAATTAATAATACTATTACTACGGTAATAAATTTTGTTTATTATATACAATTATATGGATAATCAACATCGAAAATTGCATTTTTCTTTTGTTATCAAAGGGAATATAAGTAGCTAGCAGTAAATAATATAATTTACACCTACACATGAGCTAAATGTCTCCTAGGTATAAAATGTTTCATAATAGTTATGCTTATATAAACTTATAATTACAATAAGTTATTATGGCTTATGAGCGTGCTCAATCATTATTCTACGGCCGTTTATCGGTTCCTTTTATATCTATCAAAATTGATACCATATTTCAGTGCACTTATGGTATAGTATTTAAGATTAAAATTCTGTGGTCCTAAATTCGTCATTAATAAATCACAATTCATTTTCCAAGATAGGAAGTAGGCGGTATCGTCTACTTTTTGTCTTTAAGTATAGCGTAATTTATATCTGTACGGTTAACAGTACAGATATAAGTACGCTTTTAAATTTTAGATATTCAGTAGGTATTCATATTTAAAACGAATCCAAATTTTACAACTACGACGAGAATAACAAAGTAAGAACTTACTTTCTTTCACTACTTTAAACGATAGGTTTTATTATATTTCTTACTTATACTATACATCGGATTAGCTTGTATACCAGAATAAGACATAGACTATAAATTTCACATGAATGAAACCGCGCGGGCACAGCTAGTTATACATACAACTGAAAAAGTACAATACATGAGTGACCTATATATTTTTAGAATAAATAAATTATATAAATGTATAAGTATTGCAAGTACATATACCATTAAACATTTTAATATACATAAAGGTAAGCACCTATATGTGTCCGAGAATAATGATAAAATTTTGTTTAAGGAAAAGCCAACGTGCCCTGCGGGCAAGACTGAAGAACAGACCAAAGGTGAGTTTGTAATGATTTATAACTTGAGCAAACAATACTAGCCATAGTTTACAAATACTTTTAGAGGAATTAGGTTGACCCAGTGAAAGGTATTCGTTGAACCATAACGGATCGTGTTATGGTGCACACGAATCGTTACGTACGTACTGTTCCAATTTTCGCGCTGTAAAAAGTATATGTTGATTAATTACATGATTGTGTATTTGATTATCGATATAACTTGCCAGACATATCAGCATATATCAAATACAATTCGTCATTTACTTTTTAATCTTTCTTAACAGCAATCTCAAGTGATTCGTCATTGTGATTTATACTCGTGTCACTATAACAGTGGTATTATTGAGATAAAGACTTCAATCATCTGTTAAATAAGAAGATTAACCTCATTAAAGTAATAGGATACCTAAGTTTCCATATTTAAAGTTTTGACACGATATATCATAGAACAATGACCTCCACTTTTTATACTATGTATTTATTAATTGTTAAATACATAGTATAACCCCGTCTAATTCAATGTTATAGTGATCATAAAGCGGAAATTTGTAAGAATATTATCCCCATTGAGGCAATAAATAGAGACATGCACGCTTCGATTTATTTTCGACCACTTATAACTATTAAACTGAAATATTAGGTGATGCTTATCATTCTTTAGAAGTATATAAAAACTATAGGTTTTATTATACGGTCAATTAATAATTTTCAAGTATTTAAATGTAATTATGAGTTCTGTTATCTTAATGGAATACATTTTTAATAACTTGCCGGATGTTGCTCACTACTTATTAGTTATTACTTAGAATAGATGTTACAGAAAACGCATTCCGATATGCTGTTCGATATCTTGTATCCCTATCAGCAAAAATAAAAAAATATTTATCTACTTTGTAATACGGTAAAAATAGATTAGTTAATCCCATCGTTGCATATTGTAAAGATTGCTAGTTTTTTTTTTGTATTAGTAATAAATTTGTTTTCGGCGACAGTTCCCACTTACCATCAGGTCGGCTTTCAGCTTGTTTACCATTTCACTTATATTAAAAAAAGGATGTAAAAATACGAAATAAAGCTATATATAAAAATATGAATGTATCACGTAATATATGCGCGGATTCGCGATACTTTGATTATATACAATTAAGTAGAGTCGATTATAGCAGTTTTTTCATATTTAACCTATGTGACATACTACGTTATTCGATAACCGCTCTTCAGTTTCATGAATATTATTTGTATTTAAAATTATTATATTGTTTTCATCCACCTTCCATAAGTATACAATATAGTTTAATGATAGTGCTATATTTATATTATGATTACGTAGTTGCGTATTTGCTTTACGATTTGACTTTACAACGTACCTCAACTCTTGTGTTGTTTACACACATGAATAAATAAATGTGATTATGGTCAAGTCTATATAGGTCTAGGTAGATATATCATATAATTACGTAAATAGACACAATAATTTCAGCCGTAAGCAGATCTAACTATGTTATCTGCTCTATAAATTCCCACAATGATTAGTCATGAGTTCATGACCCATTTGCATTGCTCTGTCATTCAAATAAATCATGTTTGGTTTGGATCAGTGATTTGAATGAATAAACCAATTCTTCTTTTGTACTGCATCACTAATCTTCTTATTTGAATGTATATATACTTACAATCTACTTTTATTGGAAGTAAATTGGAATCAAAAGAGACATTGTGGATTTATCTACCATTGACTTTACACGACCATAAATCTAACATATTGTGTGTATTTTATTGAATTAATATCTATTTGAAAGGATATTAGTATATAACAATGATAACAAAACAATAGAAGATTGACAATCAACAAGATGAACTAATTGCGTACTGATTCTCAATACTTAGCCAGTAAGTATAAATAAACATCTACGTTATTTATTTAATGTAATTGTGACAGAAAAACCTGACGACTCGGGGTTAGTTGATGAACTGAAGAGGCAATTACGAGAAAAAGACCTGGTGTTGACAGACATCCGGTTAGAGGCGCTGAGCTCGGCTCATCAACTAGAAAGTCTCAAAGACACCGTAATTAAGATGAGGGTGAGTTACGTTTACTCTTTGCCACTGCGGACTAACAATTATAATATTAATAATAAAGAAATGTATTCAATTCTTAACATCTCTCGCATGATTCTATGAGTTAAATTAACTTCAATTTGTTTATAGAATAATTCGAATAGTATATTATGATGATTGATTAAAATTTTTGATAATCATCATTGATTGACTTGGAACAAAATACCCGGAAATATTTTTAATTCTAATTATTATAAAGTAAAAACCTAATTAAAAAGCCATTTTTGAAAACATTTCTTTTAAAGTTCTTGTTGTTGACTAACCTTGTATAGTAAATACCAAAATTTTCTCAGATAAAGCGAGACCGATATAACGGCATAGTTTAAAATATGAGTGTCATTTGACTGTAAGTACAAATGTCTTTAATGCTATTTACATAGCTACCTCTCAACTATGAATTAGGTTAATTAAGATCACTTTTCTTAAACCCTCTATAACAGCTCTTGTAAACGAGTTGTAAAAGTAATGCCAACGGAACTCGTTAAATGTTCGCTATTCAATAGATAGCCGTAATTGTAAGTTATAAATGACAATCTAATCAGTTTATATTCGATCTCTTTATGAATATTTGTTTAATCTATCTGTACGTAAGTAACTATCTGAAGTAAATAAGGACTGCATTATTCACAATTACGTAATATACATTAAAAATCAGGCAGATTTAATACCTCCTTCCTTTTAATTTTCATACATTCATCTACGTAATTCGGATTAACACTTATGAAATTCTGATACTCTTAGGTATTTCTAGAGATATGTATTGGTCGTTTTGCGTACTGTATACATATAATATTTTCAAGATCAGACAAATGTTTTTCAAAGACCCTGATAACAAAATACGATAATATTTTGTTGCAGAATGAGATGTTGAATCTAAAACAGAACAATGAGAGGTTACAGAGGCTAGTGACATCTAGGTCATTGGCTGGCTCTCAAAGCTCTTTAGGTACTGGTGGGTCTGCTGTTGAAGATCCCAGAAGATTCAGTTTAGCAGATCAGGCTACTATGCATCAGGTAATTTCATCAAATTTTATATAGGCTGATAAGACATTTAAGAACGATTACTTTATTACTAATTTCTTATATATTTAAGCATTCATAAGTTAGGATATATAAGTAAAGTAGCTGCAATTTTTTTGATAGTTCTATTATTTTACAGGCTGCCATCGATATTCATTCCCAACCGTTAGACTTAGACTTTAATTGTATAACATCCACGCCCACCATGGATTTCTCTAAGAAAGCATCACCAAACTCCACCATGGTCGAACCTATATACGGAAACAAAGCAGCATGCGACCTCAATGAAAAGGGCGAGCTATTAGTTCTGAATGGTTCAAGTGATATGTTCACTAATGGATTGAATACTACAGAAAGATTGAGCGGAGACTACGATATAAATACGGTGCTACCGCCGCCTAAGAGTCGAGAGCTGGCGATAGGGGAAAGCTATTCCGATATCGGTATGTTTGTCATATTTTTGAGATAAGTAAAAAATAATGGTTTTAGATATGAAGGAACACAATCAATGTGAGAATTTTTAAACGAATAGAATAATAGTGACATCGTTTACATCCAATATTTTTATACTGCGCATGGGAACTTAATGAACTTACTATTTTCTCGTATTTCGCGATTTATTCATTTGTTTCAACTTCATCTGGAAGCTTTATTTTTTTTAAATGAATACGAAGCATTTGTCACTCTTCGTTTCGCACGTTGTTTTCAAATATTAAAGATTGTCTTAAAGGAGAATATTTTAAATCTGTCACTATTTTTGTTTTGCCATGTGTTCTCTGAATTTGTATACTTATTATGGTAATTCCTATTTAACCCATATGATTATCTTCAAGCATACGAGTATTATCTATTTGTTTCTATTTGATCATAAATGTACATGAGAATTCTTCCGAATAACCTATATATCAAATAATAATATGAAAGATACAGCAATTTAGGTCAGTACCCATATGGGGTACGCAGAGTTAATCGAGTGCAAACAACCTCTATCATAAGCATAATGTTTTACTTTATACGTGTCTGTTACTTGAACTCGAATATCTGTGTAAAGTCTTCTAGGAAGCGACTTAGATTTTTGTTAAGATACCAATCTCATAGCAAAAGATTTCTTAGTAAGATTATCTGGCAACTGGTAGTATTATAGTTTGTTTATTTACTAGCTATAGAGTAAATTATTAGATGAGTCATACTAGAACGAGTGCTATTTTTAGATAGGGACATATAAACTTAAGATACGAGTATGAACGATCCTAATAATAACAGCCAACTGTTATGAATTAGAAGTGTTTAATAGTACACTACATCTATTCGGATAACCTAACAGATGTAGGTACAAAACAATAACTATGGAAACATTGATAATAATTAATTACACAGTATGAGTTGTGATAGCTGTTGTTTAATATATATGATCTGACAATGCTTTTTAAACTACAACCTTATTATTTAAAATAAAAAATATTGAAAGAGTCGGGATGAAGATAGTCCTATCTTAAAGTCAACCCCATATGTGTATATTAGTAGAAGAGTGCCAAATTGCATAACAAATAGTTTTCGAAGTTTATTTCGGACAAATATAACATGAAATGTATGTAAGTGTACATAAATAATGTACTTTCTCCCTGTAGGTGTTGCAGACAGTCAAGGAGATACAGCTGATGGCAAGAAAATAGCAATAGCTGTGTATTTAGGACAACCGGAGACATTCCAAAGATACTTCGAGGAAGTTCAGGACACGCTGACCGAATCAGAATGCAGATTTTATGCGAAACAATCAGCCAGCGCCTATAGTAATCACTTTGATAAGCAATCAAGCTTCGAATCGCCAAGAATGTCCCAGAACCACAGCCCCGAGATAGAGACACAAGACTTCTCGCAAATAAATAAGTCAAACACGAATAGCCTTAAAAGTAATAAGTCTGCGCACAGTAGTTCTTATAAGAATGTTTATAACAGTGACTCGACAATAAATTGCAATGAATTTACTATTGCTTACACATATATATCTGGCAAGACGACTTGGCAAAACTTAGATTATATAGTTAGGAAAACATTCAAGGATTACCTGTCCAGAATTGATCCTGGGACGAATTTAGGGTTGAACACGGACTCTATAACGTCGTACCACTTGGGTGAAGCCACGCGGGGTCCGGAGATCGGTTTCCCGGAACTATTGCCATGTGGCTACATAATTGGGACAGTAAACACGCTGTACATCTGCTTGCAAGGAGTTGGAAGCTTGGCTTTTGATAGTCTTATACCAAAAAATATTGTATATAGGTGAGTAATAATATGTTAAAGTACGATGTGTTCAATAATTATAGCAACTAATTTTGAATTCACTTTTCATTTAATTACACTTTTCATTTACTATCAAATCAAATCTTTAAAATACCTTATAGGATTGTTTAAAAATTTTCAATTTAATTATATTTATTAATTGTAATTATTCTAATAATAGATTGATTATAATAATAATATTAATAACTATTATAACGAAGCACAATTCTCAAAGCGCTATGTAGTTTCAAAGTAACTTTGTTTTGTACCTAAAATACTCGCTTAACAATTTCAGAATCACTTTGGTAATATTATGGTGTTATTCAAGTGAACCTGGCCTAATCTGTCAAATTAATAATAAAAATAAATTATTAGGTTCTATTATTTTTTTCTAAGCTCTCATATTTTTATTTGTAGGTACGTTTCACTACTATCCGAACACCGAAGAGTAATACTGTGCGGCCCGAGTGGTACCGGCAAATCATACTTGGCAGCCAAGCTCGCCGAGTTCTACGTACAGAAAACGCAACGTCGTGGCAATCCTGCGGAGGCTGTCGCCACTTTCAAGTATGATTCAATTTATTACATTTATTTTATTAGGTAGAATTATACGAGTGAGTATGTATTCTAATAAAATTGAAGAAACATTACACTACCCATAGGTTTATAAAAAAGTGCCATCAATTAGAAATGATTAATTAATAACAATTGAATAAAATTTTCCTACTTAACTCAATGTCTCTTAATTTCTATTAAGTGTACTTAAGTTTTATGTATTACATTTTGTTTTACGGAGTTTTTATATAGCTATCGCCCGAGTTTATTTGTTAACGCTCAAACATTGAATGAAGTCATAAATATATTAGATAATCTACCAAATATCCTGTTTAAAAATCACCATAACACTTTACAATAATTGGTAAATGACTCTAAATCACCTAAATTATACCATTCCAATTAATAATCGGTAGTTCGATTTACAATCGGCATTTTAATTTCCAGCGTCGATCGTAAATCGTGCAATGAACTTCGCGCGTACCTCGCGAACATAGCGGAGCAGTGCAGCGCGGCCGCGGCGGGAGAAGAGGCTGCGTTGCCTTCAGTGGTCGTTCTTGACAACCTGCAACATGCTTCGGCCCTCGGCGACGCTTTTGCGGGACTTCTACCGCCTGACAATAGGAATATGCCTGTTATTATTGGTGCGTATTGAATTTAAATAACACATATACTTAGTCTATTTTTTAATGTAAGAAACTAAATTGATAGATTAAAATTATCAAATAATGTTACGAACTGTAGAGCTGTGCCTGCGATACCTATGTTAACGTGGCTGGTGTAGTGGAGACAGAGATGGGGAGAGAGAGAGAGAGGGAGTGGATAGTTATATCAGTTGGTCTGATAGTAACAAATCAACTAGAAATTAAAAACGTTGGATTCCCGGAGGAATCTGGTGAAAGTCGACTAGATTTGGTACATTGGTAGACATTAGTGCCCATTATTAACAATCTCCTCTCCTACATGTTTTATAGATAATCTTGAGATACATGGATGTCGAAAACCAAAGATCCGAGAAATAGTTGGCTTCAAATATACCTAGTGAAATGTGTGTATATTAACTGTTAACGGAGAGAACGAGAAGAAAAGACAAACTAGAAAGAAGAAACAGATTTTTAGTGTCTGCCAGATTTGAACTCAGCACCATTAGGTCACAGTTGGGGTAGTTACCCATTAGGCCATAACAGACCTGTTGTTAAATAAAAAGTAAATAACGAACATCAGAATATACGCTACGAAACAAAAACCTTGCACGTTGCACTGATACTGCAAACAATAGAACCTCCTTGAAGTGAAGCTATTCAGAAATCAATCGAGAAAATTAATGTTTTTATTTATTAATGTTAACGACATGATTTTTCTAATAAAGCTATAAGTATATTGTTTTATATTCTGATATATTTTTTATAGGTACAATGTCACAGGCGACGTGTAACACAACAAATCTCCAATTACATCATAACTTCAGGTGGTTACTAACGGCGAATCATATGGAGCCAGTTAAGGGTTTTCTAGCTAGGTATGTACTATTTTATACATGTATATATATTTAGTGCCTTGAAGGTTACAATTTTAGTCACAATTAAGACAAACATAAATCATGATATTTAATTTATCTGTATTATTATATAAACATTAGGCTTATAGACTAGTTAGGTTATCTTAACAGTGTAATACATGATGCAATTTTTATTATAAATAGGTTCTTAGGTACATTGATTATATCAGCACTGTTCAATGTAGTTATTATTGTAAATTTACAAATAACTAAATTACACAATAAGAAACAAACTAGCCATAGAAATTCACAGCAAATAGTACTTACATACAGTCAATTTATTAGTACTTATCGTAAATGGTATACCAATACGATCAACAATATATATATACGTAGTTACTCTTGAAACTACTACTTTTACTAAGAAAGAAAATGGGAATCTGAAAATAAATTTTCTATTTATACGTATATTTACTATCTATGTATATTTATTATTTACAAAAAAATGTATATATATTTATATATATTTTTGTCAGTTATTTAGTACCCATACAAGCTGATTAGTTTCGGACTAGATGGCGTAGTGTGAATTATTCAGGGTTATTATTATTATTATTATATGTATGAATCTGCATGCCCTAGATTACATATTATAATATTATTACCAGGTATCTCCGTCGAAAACTGTTCTCCTTGGAATTGCGTCTGGGTCGCCGCGAAGCCGCACTAGCTGCTGTGTTGGAGTGGTTGCCCGGTGTTTGGTCCACACTTAATGCGTTCCTAGAGGCACACTCGTCCAGTGACGTCACAGTTGGTCCCAGACTCTTCCTCGCCTGTCCTATGGACCTAGAAGCTAGTCAAGTAAGTATTCAAAGGAAATAGTATACTTTTTTTAATATCTATTGATTTTTTTAAGTTGCACGAATATATAAAAGTTTAAGTTTACATTCCTAGGCGTGAACAACATCACAGAGTAAGACTATGCCCCCCTCACACATTGCCATTCCTAAGGACTCATCTGTTAACTGTTCTGCGTTAAATTTATATGACATTCATTTTTTTTTTTAAATATATAATTTAAATAGAAAACTAATCGAATCAAAACAGTTATTCTATCACTACATGCATTTTGTAAGATGGACTCCCAATCATGAGATGACGGTATACAATCAAGGTAGTCACAATCAAAAGTTGATTAAAACAGACTATATGTACTAATAAAATAAAAAAACTTATTAACTCGTTTAACCGATTAAAAATTTTCTTTTTTTAACTATGAGAGTTGGGGGCACTATATAAATGTTCATTGTTTTATGGCAGGCATGGTTCGCTGATGTATGGAACTACAGCATAGTGCCGTACGCGTCGGAAGCTGTCCGCGAGGGTGTAGCGTTGTACGGCCGCCGGCGGCATGCGGCCGGTGATCCACTTCATCACGTCAAGTCCACGTATCCATGGAGAGAACCCAACCACTCCCATGTATGCTATTTTGTAATAATTATTATTTAGGATTCGTAACACATACTATATCTTCAATAATTAAAAAGTGTTCAGATTTTTAGTATATCTCTATATGTATTCTTATTTCCAATTATATATATATTATTATTACATCTTCATTTTATTTTATTTCTTACAGACATTAAGAGCTATAACCGTGGAAGATATTGATATTGATGACTCAAACCAAGATTCCAACACTAACAATAATCAAGATCCATTGGTAAGTAACGTACAGTTGGTTTATTATTTTTATTATGTAACTGCAATGACAAACAAGCTGATGGCAACGAGATGGCAAGGGACCAGGGACAGAAACTTATGATGTGACGCTCGTAATACCACCCCTATCGCAGAACTAAGATGTTATACTTCTGTATCCTGAAATTTAACTGCCTTATCTCATTCATGACTTATTTACCCAAATATAAAGAAACATTTATCTCGCTTTAAATTCTAATTAGAAAATAATACAGACACTCTATTTTAACTTTCAATTTTTAGAAGAAACTTATTCTTTTACAGCTAAACATGTTAATGCGGCTACAAGAGGCAGCAAACTACAGCGGAAACCAAAGCCAAGACTCCGACAATGCCAGTATGGACTCGAATCTCACACATGACAGCTCTATGGGCAATGAGCTCTAAATACTTCCTAAGAGTGAGACTATTGTAATAGCAGTGTAACTAAGAACAAAATATATTCTTCAATTAATTTTGATCTTTAACCATATTGGTATATTGTTTTTATTGTTTATTTGTACACGTGATATTAAAAAATGTACTGCAAATACATATGGGTACCAATTCATGTATATGTATATATATAATGGATCATGCTCGTTAGGTGTCTAAATATGTACATTAGCGTAGTCCAGTGACTTTCTTATTTTTTTATATTTAAAGCAAAAATTTGTACGTAGGCTATTTTGTAATTCTCAGTAAAAGAAAAATATATAATCTATATAGGGCATGTGATATTGTTTTAATGATATTCATAGAAACGTATATCAATTTAAAACATTTTGCAGTACATTTTTGTAATACGTTATATGTTGGTAAAATAAGTGCTTTAAAATGATCTATATGAAAGTTCGGTACATAGCTCTTAAGTTACAATATCTATGTATACATTATCTGCGTATGAACTATAAGCCAAATATTTGCCATATGTACATTATTTATATTTATTTATTTTAAGTGTTAAATTGTAAGTTGTAATTATATTGTTTTTCTTTTACAAATTATAAAATCATTAAATCTTTATTAATTGAAAGGAATCTGCTCTGCGATATTTGTAAGGCAATCAAATATAAGTGAGAGTATTGAGCCTTTCTTTGAAATTTCTTTTTCGTTGCAAATTGTAATTTTTTAACGTCAAGTTAAAATTTCTACACGTATTCGTGAATAAATCAACGACAGTGCCTAGAGCGATATTTTTTCCATTTCATGAAGTAATACCAACATGTAGGGCTGTTACTGTTTATAAGAAGCATTATGGCTTATACTATTGTTATATTTTTTCAAAGTTAGGATACGAACCGCATTTGTATTAATACATGTAAATTAACATATGAAAGTGTAATTTTTATACCATTTTCATATTAAAAACTCGTGTACCTAATAAATATATTTAGGTGTAAATAAATTATTTAATATAATTTTTTTCTATGCGATTACACTAACCGCTATTATGCCATATACAGTATAGCGTTACTTTTGTATAGAAATGCGTAAAAACCGCGTTACAGCGTATTGTATGGATTGACTTGTGTGCATAACTGAAACGTGATATCTACAATCTATGCTTTACTTAAATGTAAAATAAACATTGATTATAAAATTATTTTTTTCTTTTATTGACACCTATGCAACCGATCATTTAATACAATAGTCTATCTAGTGTCTTTGAGGTGCTATATCTATATCTATGCTTATATCTATTATATCTATTCTCAATGAACAGTAATTCGTTGACTGTATTAATAAACAAGTAGGGATTACATATTTTAAAAATCCGTTTAACTACTGCCGTGCTTATTTTATTATTAATGGCTGATGATGTTATGGTAACCACGATGGTTTTCACATTGCCGGGGGATGCTGACCTTACAAGGTACATTGTCGTCAACACACATTACTACGCAGTGATTGCACGTTAATATAAAAAATAATGCATTTGATTTTTTTACGGAAACGTATATGTAGTGTCAATAATATGTATACCTACATATGTCATAATTATAACATTCGACGATCTTGGTGGGCTAGTGGTATAACACTGATTAAATACGATGGTCCAGGGTTCGATTCCTCGCACGATGCAAGCGTTTGTATTCATTAGTATGATTGTTCATAATGGTTTGGGTTCTTTCTGTGTATTATGAAAAAAAAATCAGTTGCTTTGTACTCATAACACAATCTCTGCTGAGGTCGACACTAGATAGCGCCGGAAGGATGGACAACTTAAGTATGAACATTAAATTGAAGGAGGAATTAAAATTTATAAAATTAAATAGGTATTTAATATTTAAGACAACACGATATAGACGATCTAAAAATAAACAGTACATGTTAGAAACAACTACATGTCTTAACTTTATTCAATGAAAAGTATTTTTATTTTACAATTATTATATTTATACCTATATCTATATCTATTATTATTAATATTATAAAGCTGAAGAGTTTGTTTGTTCGAACACGCTAATCTCAGGAACTACTGCTTCGAATTGAAAAATTATTTTTGTGTTGGAAAGTCCAGTTGTCGACGAAGGCCTTTTGCATTATAAGATTACGCTTCGCCGAAAGAAGCGAAGCATTAGGAAAAATGTTGCGAATACAGGGAAAATTATTTATATTTGAGGGCTTCTGTTGCGCGCGCTGCGCGAACTAAGTCGAGGGCACAGCTAGTGTGAAATAAAAAACACAATTAAGCATGGCTTTTATTAAGTTTAATATGCACATACAGTTGCACAACACCAGTTCTACATCAGAAATAGACAAGATTATGGAGCAATTTGGACGGAACTAGTTGTATTTAGGACTAGAATTGATATATTATTCATATATTGAAATACTAAAAGGAACCATTCCGTAACAATTTTGCGTTACCATTACAAATAAGGCACAACAATTTAAAAAAGAAACTACTAATCCATTTTTAATAAGATAATAGTTTTTGTGATCCGTTGTTGGACATTGAAAAGCATTGTAGCTATAATTAATTTATAATATATATATATAAAGATGTAGATTATTAAATATACCAGTATATATTACAATCCTTTCCTGCAAATTTTTATATATTGATATTGTGTGATAAAATTCCATTTAAGTATACTTGATTGCAGATATAATTATAGAAAAATGTTATAATGCATCGCATGCAAAGCATTATTATTGAACATTGACAATACTAATAAATCTGTCTGATATTACTATCATCAATACATCAACAAAACATTTTATCGTAATTAAAATCATTAAATTGTTCAGTCATGACATTGTTCTATTTCACATTATATAACAATTAAAAAATAAACTAAAATACTGCAAATAATTACAATTATCTAAACTATAAGGAAATACACTTAGTTATATCCATGATATATCAAAACATTGATAAAGCCGGCAATATTTCAAATATATAGAATATTTCAGTAAACACGTCACAAAGAGGATAATGTTCAAAGATATCTCACTATAATAGCTAAACATAAGTAGTGAGAATGTATATTTGTGTAGCTGGAATAAACCAGCTAAATAATTAAGGAAATCAACTTCATATAAGTATGAACATTTAAATGCAAATTATAATTTTTTAATATGTGAATATCAGAAATTTTTAAAAGGAAATGATGAAATTTACAGAAATATCATTTGTATTGAGATTATATACTGACAAATAATATGCATTAGCACATTGTTTTTATAAAAACTTCACAAAGCATAGTTTAAAGATTCAGATACCAGTAATGTATGTGGATTATTAATTACAATACATATAAAGAGTTTTATACAATTGTGCACAACTCCACATGAATATTTTTCTTTAGTTTTATTAAGAGGTACTTTCTAAATATGTCCTATATCATAGCTTATTTGCAAATATTAATTAGGTATACAACTCTTAAATTGACAACCACAAGAGTTTAATATAATTATTATGTAGCAGTTACTGTAAAATTATGTTTGTTACCTACAATTAATATATTTACAACAGTGTTTCTGTAATATAGCAACATTGCCAAAGACTACATCTTAACTGCACATGATATCACATAATTATTAATTGTAGTAATATAGTGAACAATATGAAAATAAAGTATATATTTTTATAAAATTAGATTTCACTGAGGCATATATATTTAAAATGCTAATTTTAATGTAATTTAACTAATGATTAAAATTAAACTGACTTCAACAATAATGCACTGTATTTGTATTTAAGTATTGTATTGCTTTACTTCAATATTCACTTAGTATTATTAATACCAAATATTTTTTAATTATAATTTTCAATCAGTATGGACATCAAGACTTAAATTAGAGAGTGAAGGGACTGGTGATTCTGAGAAATCACCAGAATCATCATCATTATTAGAGTTAGATTTTATAACAATGTTGTTTGATGCAGATTGTTTATGTGAACTATCTTTATTATACCCAAAGGAGGAACTTTTTTCACTTATTAAATCTGCAACATCGGATATAGAAATTGAACTACGAGACTCGTGGGAATTTTGAAGTTGACTCTCTAAAGAATCATTTTTGTTTAATCCTGAGACATCTTCCTCAACTGAATTATTCGGAGACTGGGCTGGTTTTCCATATTCCCGTTTTGAATTTGCTGATGATGAAAAATCATTACTGTAATCTACAGTTTCAACATCTGATTTGCCAAGTTCTTCATGATTCTGTTCACTTTGCGACCCTTTACTAGAGTCATATTTCAGGGATGGAGATGATCCACTATTTATAGATATAGAAGGTAAACTGTCCATTTTTTTAATACTTTCATTTTTATTAATATCAGTATGTTCTATTATGTTATCGGGTAGATTTGGTACAGAATTTTCTAAACTACTTTCTATATTGGTAGTGTAATCTAACATAGGTACTCCTGTAGTGTTCAACATTTTCTCATCAATTGAATTATATGGTTTTAAGTCTATGTATGAAGTTGAGTCACTGCTGCTGTTGTTGTTAATTTTTAAATCATTCAAATAATAAGATGATGGCCTTATTGAATTATTACAATTTGCATTGGTATTTTTTATAACAGATTCCACTCCATATTTATTAGGTTCAATGACATTTTCATTTACAATATATTCAGCGCTAGTCTTGTCTCTTGCAGAGTCACTAGAGGTATCAGTATCAGAATTATCCAACTGTAGCCTTAAATGCAATTTATTTTTTTCATCTAAAGAATTATCAGACTGGGAATTACTAGTAGTAGTAGATGAGTCTTCATTAACTATGTAAGTACAGTTTCGGTTATTGCTATATGTAGTGTCATTGTTTACTTTATTTGTAATACTATTGTTATCTTTGTTTTCCAAATTTATTTTGTGATGTTTTAATAAACTTTTTAATAATAACAGGAGTACTGGTTCTTTTGCACAGTCTTCTTTAGTCAAGTTTAATTTATCTAATAAGATTTTCTGCCCGCAGTAATTATATTCTTTACCTTGGCGAGTCTCAGACTTGTATACAAACAAAGTATTTTTAAGGTTACAAAATTCCAAAAATTCATGAATAAGAGACAGAGAAAGAATGCCTTCTTGTAGTTTCAAAATATTATCAAGACTTACATTTTGTTTATTGTTATCTGTTTCATCTTCAAATGCTAGAAAAATATTAGCTCTCAATAATGCGCGAATTTTTGCAAGTGAACCATTCTTTTCTAAGGCTTCTATAACTAAGTCTCGGAGTTCTGTATCTTCAGCTTGAGCCATCATTAAGTATAAGTATATAGGAATAGCAAGCTATTTTAGAAACACTTGTATATTCTTAGATATATATAATTTGATCAGTACAAATAAAATACTATAATAATAAACTAATTATTGAATGAATATTATAAATATACAGCGTATAGTGTATTGATTGATCATCAAATAGTTGTCATTCAAACTATGAATGACGTATGACAATGTCATGTTTTTCCAGTTATGTTGACACTTTGATGTTGTCAAAATGACAAAACAGATACATAACTGATATAAAACTGACAACTCGGAGTGACATTTACAGTGTGACCATCTTAAAGTTACGAATTATGCTAAATTCTAACTAGGAAGGCAAATTATCCCAATTTTAAAATACCCTAACATTGATCGTAAGTATTACTGTAATAAATTATAAATATGTTTAAGTTTAATTTATTTTAAATTACGACGCTTAGTAGCTACGTTCTACTGCTCAGTCACCATTTATTACAATTTAATGAAGTATTTATTTTAAATATTTTATTATATACAATTTCTATTTAGCTTTTAACTTCATTTACACTTAAATACTTTTAGGACGTATAGGATAACATACTAAAATATTATGTATACAGATATTGTTATAGTGCCCGATCTTTGGTACAACAGACACAACGGAAGAAACAACATTTTATATATATACATATTATATTGTTTAATTAGCGTATGTATATGCTTTAATTATAGAGAAAGTTTGTAGTAGACATACATTTTCCACTACTTAATAATAAAAATGACATTGTTACCTACCTAGGAAATTGCACAAAATTTTGGAATTAATTCTCATAAAATAGATGGATTGCTTTTACTTCACAGTTAAGCCCGTTCAGCAGTCGTACTAATTCCTTTTATTGAACCTAGAAAAGGAATGCAGAATATCTATCTAGATTTTTACTGATATATCTTTGCGAACGTGCTCGATTACAAGGGGTGAAGGCTTGCGCCGGGAAAATATAGGAAAGTCAGTCAGTCGGGTCGAGCAACCGCGAGAGGACGGAGCGTTACCCGTCTCAACATTGTACGGCATAATGAAACTTTTAGTCTATTTTCTCTCTTAACCTAAATTAAATTCACGAATTAAATAAAAATTAAGTGTTATGTTTTCTACGTTTAATAGCCACGAGGATTTTTCATTATGAAATTATAAGTGTTAAAGTACCAGTGGCGGGAAACGGTTTTGATATCTCGCTTGACGTGTTGTGTCCTATGTGTACATAGAGCGAGAGGAGCCGTCTGCCCTGGAGGGCGGCCGACATGCTGGATTCGTCTTGAATCGATATTTTTGGAGCGTTGTAGAGCAGAAACCATGAGGTTCCAAGCTCAATAAAGGTATGACAGGTGATATTATTAATAGTTTCTGTTCGTTCGCCTCCGCCCAACACATGTTATTACCGCAATTCCCCGAGTCCCGTGTTGGGCACCAATTGGAGAGTTTCACTTACCGCAGCTGGCAGAAATATTTATTACTTAACTTTAAGTGTTTTATTGTTTTATGTGAGGGGAAATTATAATTATGTGCCTATCTATGTGTAGAAATTTTATATTTATGTGAACATTTAAGATGGTAAATTTGTATTAACTGTTTTACGATAAATTATGTACCTATATTCATAACTATAGTGTATAATAAAAAAAAATATATTAAATACTATTATTGTCTAAAAGTATCCTATAGGAAAACTAAAAGTAGGTATACTAGTTTAATAAAATAAATTAAAAGGACCACGTGTTAGGTAGATAAGTAGGTATTTGCATAATACAATATTTCATTATGTTAACAATGTGATTTTACCAGTCCTACCTACCAGATGTCGTACCTACTTTAAACTCTATGATTGATTTTTACGAATTTAGATGTCTTAAACATTTGGTATCTATAATTAAATGATACCTATATACACCTACTAATTAAATGTTAAATCTGGAGTCCAATATATCGTAATAATTCATAAGTATTGTTACAATTAGATCAACTTTTAAAATATTGGAAACAACATATAAGTATTCAGCACTGCGAATATTATGAGGAACCTTTATGACAATTCTTCATTTCTTTATAATATAAAGAAACTAAGTATTATCATAAAGGTTCCTAATTATATATACATATTATGTATATATAATTACCAAATACCTACATGAGTCAAATGTGGATATCAACATTTTTGTACCAATATTCTTTCTATATCCGGATTGAATGTGCAAAATAATTCTATCCTTTTTGATATGTCCTCTAATAGGAAAGAAATCGCTTCGTCTATATTATAGGAATACGCCATCCATGATAGTTCAACTTTGATTATTTGAAATATTGAATAAACCAACATTCCCATCTAGTTGCTCAGAATATTGAATTCCCGGATTGTTATATTGCGTCCTATATAACACGATAGGTTAACTCAAAAATTAAAAAGTTTGAAGGTAGGCAAGGTAGAGCCGGTATAGAGAAGGAAGAAGGTGTGTAGAGATAGGTACTTCTAAAGGCTCCACCTTCAAACTTTGAGAAGGTACTCACTTTAGATCGCACTAGAAGTTGAAAAACTTGGTTCTGGACTACAGCTCCTAAAAAATGAACCAAACTCGTATTTTACAGACATTAGTGCACTTCTTAGCAACATTTAAATTATCTAAAGCATTATTCTGCACATTGTAACATAATGTTACAGGTATGACACTTGACATTATAGCACTTTTTATTTCTAAAAAACTGCTTAAGTCAACCTTATATTCATAAGTAACGTTTTCCCACGACCAATTGTTATGTTCAATATAATGAGCCTTCCTAAAAGGCTAACGTTTCAGTGATTTGTACGCCTGTCACTCGCACCATAATTTGAAACCATGAAATTCCACGGTATCACACCGTTTCAGAACGTATTTGAATTCACAGGTATTTGAACACACAAACAAATTATTTAAGTATACTTTCAGTGTGATTCTCACTCATTTCAGAATAATTTTTGCCTAAAAACCTTCAAATAATAACTAATTTAAAACTTGTACATTAATACTGATGCATTATAGGTAATTTCTAATTAGCATACTTGTTCATAATCGTATAGTATATACATAAAAGAAAATTTACGTACTGCTTTACTTTCATTCCCGCAGAATCTAGACATCTGTATTCATGAGTCCATACTAATTAACTGTTACTATGGGATTATTTATACAAAAAGTATTTGAATATAATTAATTAAATATAGGTACTATTTAACTTACAGCTAAACTATGCTTTGTAAGCTGTTTGGTTGAAGCGTGAAATATGGCTGTGAAACTAACAACAGGGTTAAAGTAGCATAATACCTTATCCTCCGGTGTAGCAACGTGTGAGGTACCACAACCGTCACTTAAAATGAGGGCTGTGATTTAGGTAGGTATAGGCGACAGTTAACCACTTAACAATACCTACACCAGATGGGCTCATAACTCCTTTACTATTCTAGTTATCTGAAAAAAGAAACAATATATAGGTATCAAGTAAGACGATGCTTATAATCATCTAATGTAATCTGAGGTTTAAAAACTATAATGATAAATAAATTAAACCCAGTTAGAGAGAGACGAACTTAACATTCCATGGATTCACCGTGCAGATGCCGGGTCCATCGTGTGACAAAGAGAGAAACTCCGAGCATTTCACGGGACTTGTGACCCGGGTGTAGGTTTAAAGGGCCCCTTTGCAGACCTACATCAACACTCACCTTCACCGCTCGTATTTCTCTGCCTACCTAGCCAAATCCGGTAGCAGCCTGTATATAGGCACACATTCTAATATGGAACTTACTACAGTGCTAGACAGTCCAAGATTAGAAGATTGTAGAGAGAATTTGCTGGTATACCTCTCGCTCCCACTTCGATTATTATAATGAAATATATTACGTAATTCTTGTAATCTACATATGCTATAATGGTCTTAAATTTTAAGGTGAATTTAGTCGTAAGCGGAATACGCAAGACCGTGTGAGAAGTTCGGTCCTGCGGGATTTTAGTTTGTCATTTTAGATATGTATATAGATATGCAAGCCAGCACGCTACACTGATAGTAGATAACTAGATAAGACGGTAAGTTTTACCGTCTATGTAAACGTCTTCAAAATAATATAAAATACTTATAACACAAGCTGTTGTAGACAATTTAATTTAATCATGTTTTCGGGGTATTTAGTAGCGTTCATTATTGGAGCTTCACAACATCTGTGATATACGTTATCTGTGAATATTATTATAAAAAATATTTAGGTGGTAAACCATATATTCACTATTTGATCATCAAAATCAAACTTTGGTGGCACTTAAATTTAATATTTCGGATTAAATGGATAAAACAACTATTTTCAAATTATAAGTATTTCATTTTAATTTCATACATAATGCATATGTTGCTCATCTTTGGCAATGCATTTAAATAATATTGAGGTTTATTTTCATATATATTGAAATCAATAAAATAAATTTCATACACAATGTTTTAAAAGTGAGAATATTTGTCATCTGATCTGATAAAGGAAGAATAGTCAAAACGTGTACGCAGTGCAAGAGAAGACAAAGAAAATCCTTATCAAGTCTCAAGATCATCTTAGTAATGGTATAGTAGTAAAAAGAATAAGAAGTCATGTTGTCTTTCGCTATTTTACAGTTTATCTATCAAAATTGTCCAGAGAATTGCATAGAATGAGACTGAATCGTAAGTCGTGAAGTTCTTGACATAAAGCGTCAAAGGGAAATAACTCTCCATGCAGTTCAGGATCGGCACCTAGAGACAGCTCAAACAAGTTGCAAGTTAGTGTTATGCATTCGACATCACAAACTTACAGTAGCAAAATTTTACCTAAAATGCTACTGCATTTATTTGGCGTAAGAGAAAATTCACGAAACACAAAGCGCTGATGGATACGAGTTTTATAATGGATTTATGTGGAATGGTTTGCCCGATTGCGCTAACGTTATACGCTCATCGGGGCATCAGTGGAGTATAGTCAGGTCAGATAGCCTATCCTGGTGAGCTCACAAGGCAATTGATAAAAAAGGTTTCCAGAGAAGACTGCGGGGAGGTCAACCTGATATGATATGTAGTAGTCTCTATTCATAGGAAACCCTTCCCTCTTAGTAGATGGATGGAAGATGATAAAATGAGTCTGTACAGAATACTTTTAGTATTCATATTATTATTATACAAATAAAAATTCATACATTTGCGAATGAGTTACATAAATATTTAGACAGTGATACAAATAAACGTTAATTAACATAAAATAAAACAAACCAGGATTTTCATTAAATTAAATAATTCTTTCCACTGTAGGGTAATTAATAATAATTGCCTTATTCACCATTTCTCATGCAAAATAAATAAATCATTTAAAAAGAGAAAACTACATTTTATACAAATATTCTCTACTTCATTTCAGTTATAACACACAGAAATATGAAAATATGGTTCAAGCTTTTATTCCACACACAACCAGCCCCATTCCGTGATAAATTGATCACGTAATGGGGCGGTTTGAGGTTGGTACATATTACCAAATTACCGTCACCAAGCCGTCTATATGTATTTGTGAATTCAGAATTGCCAAATGTATTATTTGAGGTTTATTAGGATATTTAAATCATACGATTACGGCTTGCCGATTGGGGAATTAGTTGTTCTACCACGTCCCAATGTTTATGTAAACGCTAAAGTCAGCAATAATGTTGTTTCTTGGAAACTGAGTACATATTTTGAATACTACATTTTTGCACATATCTGAAAGAATTGAAAGAATATTTTTAGATTTTTCTCCCGTTTCACACTTGCCTTATATTAGCTAGTTAATACAAATAAAATGTAAAAAATTTGAATTTCTTTATTGAATGTGACAAATCGCTATAAGTAATAATAATATAACTCTTTATTGTGGAATAAAAAAAAAGTACACAATGAACAGCTTGCATACATGTACTTAACAAAAGGCGCCTGAATCGTTTAAAGATATCTCTGACAGACAACCTAGGTAGTAGGTAGTTCAACATTGAAAATGACTCAAATTCTCCATTCAAGCAATAACAACTCAGTAAAGTAGAATGGCGAATCGTAAATGATGCTAAAGGTGAGCTGTGCTAACTTTAAAGCATAACTATGCTTTAGGTGGGAAACGGCACATATCTCTGTGTTATTTTACTAATTTTAAAAGTAGTGAAATAACGCTACGCACTGCATTCTAACGCAACGCTCCGTAAACATCATATCAATATCTTAAGTGTCAATACAAAGTAGATAACTTATTCGAAATATTCTAGCAACCATATTTTATATGTAATAATGCCAGGGTGAATATTAAACTGCA